AGGGATCATGGTCATAACTACATCCCTCGATAAGAATAGAACGTCACACGTCGTCTGCTTGATATCCTGAGGAGCGCCTGCCGAAAAGTCCTTTGATATTGAAGATTCATAGAAGAAACATTCCGTATTTATTTCCGACTAACTCGGTGGTGGAAGTCGTTTGGCCTTCCTAGCGTCCAGTATGCAATGGGGCGTAATTTTTAATTCTGGTAAAGTTTTTTGGTCAGATGTGTTTATGCAGCCGCACCTGACGTAAACGAACCCTAGCCACCTATAATACGGGATCGGTGGTAATGGGGGGTTTTCGGATGGGGCCGGGGAACGCAAAGGCGACGAGGCCAAGTAGTTGTATGCAAAAGAGAAGCTATTTGGAATGCTCGGTTGCACTTTGAGTGGTTGATAAATAGTTGCCGTAACCCCTAAACCTAACCCCTGACTCTAAACCCTAACCCCAACCCCTAACAGTATTGTGTCCATCAGGTGCGGCTACATAACCACATCTTGCCGAATTTTTAAACTGACGCTTTTGTCTTTTAGCAGGATGCTGAAAATGCGAACTTAAATGATTTGGAAGGCCTCCTCGGTCTGTGGTTTTTGTGATTTCAGAGGCGAGGAAGAGTATGGCATGTAATCCCTTGGGAAAACTGTGACTACCTACAACCCTAATGCTAGCCGTGACCATGCCTGAAATGGGTAACACTAACCCATTACCCGTTACCATCTAAGGAAAACTCTAACGTAACCGCAGCCCTAACCCTAGGCCTTAAGTCTCTAACCCGAACCCTGAAACCCTAGCCCAAACTTCGATCGCGCTACGGAACTCACTCGTCCCGTTGTGCCTTGGGGTCACAAACCACACCTACCTGGATAAGATAAAAAGACAGATTTTTGAACAACCACTCAGGGGGGTCGCACTTCCTGCCCTCACCGAAAACTGAAATTAAACGTAGGTTTTTTCAAGCAACCAGGTTTCTGAAATTTATTGTAGGGGCTACAGATAACTATTCCATAACGTACGACCAGTTGGTTCCTGAAATTCGAATCCACCAACAGTCCTCCTACGAATGCCAACGTCTCAAGGGAAAATAGGGGCTTTGGAGGAGCTGATTGATCTGACTCGTCTGTCAGTCTTGTACGCGTAAAAGACTGCTTGAAACAACAAGGCCCCCAGTGATAAGCCCCCGGCTTCAAGCTTCAAGTCTTTCAGTCTCGAGTCTGGGTCCTGACTCACTAGCAACGGTAAATAAGCCAGAAATGAGCATTCAAATCGTACCTGTTCTTTTGTACAGTACTTTCTCAGCTCTACACTTCCTGCTTATCCTCACTGGACTACCGGCCATGTTCTAATAAAAGTCCAAGAAACTACTAGGCTCCTAAGTATAGTTAAGAAGGCGAAGTCAACGAGCCCTGTCTTTTTACTGTGAGAACAGGATGTGCAATTTAAGCTGGAGGGTTTGTCTGCTCGGTGATTCTAAGGTCGGGACCTAATATAGGGGTAACTTTTTACTGAGACTTTGAAGGTATATTGGCTGCTCTGGGGTGCGCTACTTCTAGCTTTGGAAGCTATAGTCATCTGACTACCTGGCCAGTAAAGGTAAAACATTAAGAAATCTGCAGGAAAGTGATCGCACGCCCTTTAATCTTCAGATTTTCCTTAATGTACACCATTTTCGGAGAATATTTTTATACAGCTGTATGATTTTTCTGTCAAATAGTTGTTTACTATGCTGCGACTGTTTCAACCGCCCTCTTTTGAGATAACAAGAGACATACCTACTTCTCATATTTAACGTGGTTGGATTGTATCAGGGTAGTTATCCGGATGTTTTTGCGGCTCTTTAATGGCAAATTTGTTCATAAAACTCCCGTTGACGTTGGCGGTCCCCTCAACTGAACGCCGTAGTTTGTGAAGACCGCATTCCTTAGAAGTCTAAATACCAAATAAGATTTTTCCATAAAACATTTCAGGAGGCTGGGTGAAGTGTTCTTTCAACAGGTTTTACGAAAGCAAGTGCATCTTGTTACTTTCGTATATAATAGAGCTCCAGTTTTGTACGGAGTGATTGATACTATTCGGAGTACTGCGACCAATGATTTGGCGTACAGCATCATTGTTTCGTTTGAATCGCCGGAATTCCTTTGTCGACTAAAGCGAGAGAGGATGGTTAAGTCAAATAATCGTGCAATCAATGAAGTCAGCCGTTATACACTACCGCCGATATGCTTCGAACTAAAGTGGGACGTTCCCTTGATAGCTCCTCAGGCCGACCATTTACAAAAATCAGTGGCTTATCGGAAGGAGTAAACGAAACACTTTCCCACCTCTGATTGTTAAGGAATAATCAGTCGTCTCGTTCACTGTTTTTGTCACTTGTCATGGATTTTGCAAGTGCATGGGAAGACGAGGCGTGACCTCTTAGCGAAACGCTCCAGTCCCCACCGAACTAAAATCAGTCAATCCGCATAAATCTCGGGACTTTCGTTTCTTCTCTCTTCGAAGCGACGATGTAAATCCCCATTATCAACTTATTCAGCCTTTGGGTAGATCTATCAAAAATGGTGAATTCATGCAGGTCCCCATGCTTTTTCTTAGTCGAAGTCTTGTAAATTATGTAAGCAAAAAACAAAACCTTAAAAACGTTGCGATGGTAGGCTTAAGAGGAAGAAGCCAAGTGAGCAAGTTTTAGTCGCGTCGTTTTGCAGCTTTTAATTCCAGGGTTCCTCTCCGAAGTAATGGTCTTAATAGGGATTTTTAAAAACCGGGCACTATTTCTGGGGGAAGTATGATAATTAAAAAGGGGATGCTTGTATGTATTTGTTGCCATCGAGCCTTAATGCACTTTCGAGTACTGTATGGGTGCAGCAGTCTGAAACATCCTGTCCAGCCAAAAACGGTTTGCATCTTTCCTAAAGTAATCATCTGTCCTAAAATGTAATTAACGATACAGAGTACGCCTGTTGCTGAAATACATTAAACACCACTTAATTCCTCTGAACATGCCGCCCCGTACCAAAGATAAATCGGCTAGGTTACGATGCTGACTGCTACGGAGTTTAACTCGAGTTAATCTCCAGACAATCGGATGTCTTCTTTTGTCAGAAAGTCCTTCCAGCTACCGCGTTCAGTCACAGTCCAGAAAAAGGTCATTGATACATTTGTCCTACAGATTTTCACTGTTTGCATGTCAAACTATGTTCCTTAGATGGGACGCTGGAAATGTTTAGTGATCATTTTCATTCCTGTTTTGAGGGAAGAAAATAATGATGCATTCTTCTTAGATCAACTCAGTAGGCACACATTGCCTAAATAGGTACTTTTCCGGTGCCTCAGAATGTCCATGCTCAACTTGAATTAACAGGGGATCGAGCTCCACGTTAACTTCACCCCAGCAATCTTTTCCATGTACAAGCGTACTTAGCAATTTCTTCAGCTTTATGAAAGTTTGAGTGCAAATCCCTACAAAGGACACCTGATTCCGATAAAACCTGGACTAGTTTTGAAAGTCAGCCGGTGAGCTTCGTTCATAGCCGACAGAATATGATGGGCATTGAATGAGAAATCCTCGGGTAGTACTGCACTAGATCTTGTCTGCGTTCCAGCTTTTGAGTACTTGGACTGAAGCCTCCACTGAAGAATTAACCTGTCTACAATCTACGCAGGGAAGCTCTCGCTAAACTAAAACCAACCGCATCGCACCGCCACCTCCAGGGATATTATTACGTAAATTTACTTAACCGTAGTAGGATTCTTCCATACCCCAGCACAGGAGATGACACGTGGATAAAAAAATAAATCTTTACTCAGCCTAGAAACTGAAAAATATGATTTCGAACAGTGAATAGGAGATAGTCGGTGTGTTGGCCAAAATAAGAGTAGTCCTGCATAATACCTGTTTGGGGTTAACTCAAGCGCTGGGAAACGTCGCGTGTCTCTGTTGTTTGCTTGTTCCTGCGACTTTGCACGCGCAGTCTGCTGAGCCATATGCAGTGGAAAAGCAGCGCCCTTCTGCGTCTTTCGCATTGTTCGGTGGACTTGAGGAACCTTTTGCCATCAGAGTCTTTCAAAGGCCGTCGGACAGGTAATTAATGTTCGTAGCAGGCTCCAGGCCCTTCGAGCTGCCAGCTCCATGGCCAATGGCGTCTGACGTCGAAAGAGGTTCAATTGAGGCAGAAAGTAATGCGGGCAGTGACGATGCTGCAGACAGGAAATTAGTTGCAGTAAGATCCCACTAATCCGGTCAGGGATGGTAAACTCCGTCCAGTCCTCTTCATGCGGATGTTTCTCACACTCATGCAACACCAAGGTTTTTATGTAGTAGTCATAGATGAGCGGACTCTCGGCACCCAGCTTTGCTCCATAGCATTCATCCACATGCTGTTGTTGTCCGCCTTCTTCACTGCTGGCGCAGTTGGAGGTTAGATGGCGTTCCACTAGGGTGGTTAGGACGTCCAAACAGAGCTGACGAGAGCCCTGGTTAAGCAGACTCTCCTCGGCCTCGTGGAAGTCTAACAACCAGGCATCTCCCTCTGCGGAGGTCTGCTTGTCGCGTATGTAGGTGGATTCCTGGCTGAGGAGGGTGAAGCCTTCGTGCTTCACCTCGGAAATCAGCCTAGGTGGTGGCCAGAGCATCCACGCATTAGGGTTGGCCGACCGGTTGTTACTTGGCCAGTGACTGGCTGAACGCGGCCAAAGGCCCTGGCAGCGAAAGGCCGGAGTTATCTGAAGGGTGTATCGATCACGAATGCGAATCCGCACTTCACTGTGTTGACCCACTAGCTGGAGAATGCCACGATAGGCGCACTTATCGATTGCCTGCGCAACAAGACTGTGAAAACGGACACGAATCTTTCGTGCAGAAAGATAGCCAGAAGCAGTAATAAATTCCACCCACAGAGACATTGAGCGTTTGCGCCCGTCAGAGAGTTTCAGGACGGCTCCACCAGGTACACTACCATCATCGACGAAATTGAAGACTCCCATCTGATTGAGGAAGAGAATGACCTCAAATTCATTCGCCGAGTTAACTCGCAGACCCTCGTACAGTTCCGCCTCGACGCCCAGCTTGCTGATATGAGTGGTCCTTACTTCCCCTCCTCCTCCACCACCGCCGCTGCTGACGATAGGTTTAAGGGTGTTAATAAAACGTGGTTCCTGTAATTCAACTTCACGTAATAGCTCCTGTGCAATCTGTATTACTTCACGTAAATTCCTGGCAATGTTTGCCGCACGGGTGTCGACGCGACGACTGATAAATGTCTTCAGGGACTGATATATTGTTGTCATGTGCTTCGGCGCCGCCGCCTCATAGAGGGCCGGTGGGGGACCATTTACAGTCTCTTCCGGTTGTTCTGCGCCCCCAGCGCCGCAGGACTGCAGACTGTACCCGCCCGGAGCGAGATTCATTTCATCAGTGTTGTAACCCTGTAGAGGCATGTTGGTTGGATAGAAATCATGCGTCGACTGACAGTCAGCGGCAGCGGCTCCAGTAGCCGATCCATACATTTGGTGCTCTACCGGCAGTGAGGATGTACCCCTGTCTGTCATCCTCTTGTGGAAATCGGTCACTTTCGTAGGATGGCAGGCAATTAATTACCCTTCTTAGTCGTGTCGTTTGGAGTGGACCCGCCAGCTTAACAGATGTTTAATGGACAGGTCTGGGAGCTGATTGGCCCGTAGTGCGCAAGTGAAAGGCTCCTGATTGGTTGCCATTCTCCGCTCCCGGGAGAGAAATCTTCGACTGGTTGGCGCGCTTGTCCTCGGCCGTGAACGTGTACAGAAGTGTGGGTCGAGTGTCTGGCGAGAAGAAAGGGGCTTTTGGATGTTTGTGAGCTTTCCAACTGAGTCAGGAAATGTATGTACTTGAATGTGCGGGAAAACTCACATGGACTTAGTGTAAGCGTGAATCAATTTGTGCAGCTGCGGGGGCAAAGGTGGAGGTAGAATATTACCTCTTGAATGAGATCGAACTCGGGCCTTTCTGAGTCCAAAAGTGGGCCCAACTTTGTAACAATGTGCGGTAGGAATTGGAATGACCTTTAAGTTCGTTCAATAGACAATTACCTAGATTAGGTAGGAAGACGAGCTACAGTACTTGTGCCTTATGTAAACGAGGGCCACACAAACAAGAGGCACGCATCAGACGTCGATTAGACGCTATTGCTCCTGAACTCATCTCCAGCAGACTTGGCTCGAAATTGCCACTCGTAAACGAGGTGGGAGGGAAAAGAAAGACTGGGGCTGATTCTTTGTCCTCCCTTGCGTGGGATGGCGACCATTGGCTAGCAGTGGTTCCATGGGGAGCAAGTCGAGCTGGCTCTGACGTTGCACAGACTGTATAATCGAGCGCTCTAACCGGAACTGTGAACTTGAGACAGCCTGTGTGATAGTTTCCTGTCATCGTTTTTACCCGACTATGGAGGTCACGGCTGGTTCAAAACTACTGTCGACGTAGCAATAGGGTCATCCATATGTAGACTGTTTTATTTACAAAGCTACATAGGTATCATCAGTCAGCTACGTTCACTGTATGCGTGAACTGTTAGACATATGCAACTTTGGTCTCCGCTTGATCATCTCCATTCATATCATTTATTTTGCCCAGTATTTTGAGGTGTCTCACATGCTTCCGATGCCTTTTACCTGGTGACCCACTCAAAGTAGCAAGGTTGCCCATAATGCCCCCACGCACAGCATTTCCTGGAGATTCTAATCTAAAAGGACGGTAACCACTCCAAAATAAATTTTTATCCCTAAGAGCTGCACGCCTGTTCAACCTGATGCTTTTAGGCGATTTATGTGTTCAGTCATACTCCGGCATGGTCGTTTTAACCAACCGGAGATTTACGATACTGCCTAATGTGTCCCTGTCTGCTAATTTAGAAGATAAGTAGAGATACTTATGTTCCTATATGAGCATACTTCACAAAAAACAAAGTGGCCTGGAATATAAAAATACTGATGACCACTAATTAATAAAGTGGGCTAAACTCCCAGTGGTGTTGCCGACGACCATGGCTTCTAACAGCCGGTGGTGTGGCTGGAGGTATGTTTTATTTAGGCCGTTGACAATAATAACTTTCATAGATATTTTGGCAGATTTTGAATAATTCATATTGACCCAACTGTTAAAAACTCGGTGCCTCGGTGGGTTTCGAACCCTCGACAGTAAAGGGAAGGCTTTAGTACAGCCAACACTCTAACCACCTGAGCTACGAGGCCCCACCGGACGACTCGAGTTTAATCACATCTTGGTCAAGTTTTCCCGCCCAACCTACTCCAACGTCTGGAATCCACCAAATCTGATACAGTGAGTTGACTATCCAAACAGGATTTCCTAAGTAATTCACCTAGAATTCACCAGATGACTACCAGGCTCACGTAATTCATAGATGCTTTGGCAAATTACAAATAATTCCTTTTGACCAAACTCCGAAAAACTCGGCGCCACTGTCGTGAGTTCGAATCCTACCGAGGTGCCGAGTTTTTCACAGTTAAGGCAATATGAATAATAACCTTTTAAATAAGTCTGAACGACAATCAAACCCACAATTTCGAGCTGGGAGTAGGTACAATGAACGCCCACGGTGGTGGATCCAGCGAGGAAGTTATAAAAGAATCTAAAACCGCTGCAGATAAACCTCCTTAGCAGTCTTTTCTGTCCAGAGCTAAGTCCTAATCCGGTACTTCTTTAACAATTCTGGTTTTCTGAATGTCCTCCTTCTATGCTGAACGTTTTCCACATCGATAGCAGAGCATGTTTGGGCCTGCAATGAGAAAACACCGTGTGACACCGGTACTGTATCGGCAAATTTTCCAGTCATTCTATAGGTTAAGGATAGTATCATGGGTGAATTATAGCCCTGAAGGATCATCTGCGGCTGTCGGCCGATCTACTCCTTCACCTTCCTTCAACTGTTTTTTAATCCCCGTGCTTTCCCTTGGTCTTGGAAAATTTTAATTTCGTGTTTTTAACTTCGGGAAGCAGCCGTGAAAATAAAGAGTTTAGTATTCAGACATTTCATGGTAAAGGCTAGCGGCCGACATGTCCCGACAAGTACTGTCTCCTTACTTATTTCTTTGGCGAATCAACTTCCTGCATTTTGTATCAGTCAGGTGACCGCGAACTCTACTTAACAGGGGTTTTGTCACTTTCCTGGAGCTCTTACATCTGACTAACCCCCTAATACCGCACAACCAAAGCCGACTACACGCTTCTCTGAAGTTTTTCGCAATGGAAAACGCAAGCTCTGAGGCCTTAACCTGACTGCAATTATGGCCGACGGGCGCTTGTGTAATTTACGGCGCACCAAAACCCCTGAAATGCTTTTCCTGATGAGATATTTCTGCGACTGTATGAGTGATAGCAGAGGGACAAACGGCCAGGAATGAATGCTCTTTTATACAGCAAATCACTCTTCGTTGCTTTACCGTATTTTCTTAATCAACATGAACTGGGGCATCAATAAAGCGACAGCGTCTTTGTCAGAAACTGAACCCAACATATAGAGCAAAACAGGAGGACTGACCGCAAAAGCTGGGTGGGGGAGGGGGGCCGATTTTGTGCGCCCAGAATTTTGTCAGAGGTCTTTTAAAGAGTGTATAGGTATGGAGAGCTACCATTCTGGAAACAAGTTGTGCCATCGATTTCAAGTTGCAGTCAAATATTTAGATGGTGGTGAACAGTTCGAAGATCATTTAAAACTGGACTACTGGTTAGAGACTTTTGACTTTTAACTGACGGGTTGTAAGTCCGAGCCCCAGGTGTTCCCAGGGTACGACTGGCTGACGACAGCTAATAATCCAGAAACGGCCACTCCAGTCTCCCTTGTCTTTATCGGTAATAACATATTGCCTATATCATGCGTCGCTGTGCGGCTACTGGTTGGGCTCGAGATTGAACCCGTAAGGCACAACGGAACGAGTGAGTTCCGTAAGAATGATCGGTGAGCGCCCCCTACCGTTGTATATTCCCGATCTAAACCGACAAGACAACCGGTCCGTGGCCCAGTAGTTAAAGGCGTTGGACTTTTAACTAACGGATCGTGAGTACGAGCCCCAGATGCTCCACACTTTGGGGTTAGGTATGACTGGCTGACGACGGCTAGTAAGCCAGAAATGGCCATTCCAGTCTCCCTTGTCTTTGTCGGTAATAACATACTGACTACGGTGAAGGTTTATTTATCCTCAGTCGCCCCAAGATTATAGTTTACTGGAGGCAGACGGATTGTAAGAAGCCTTGCCTCGTTTAAGATTACAGATCCTTAATGACCTTCGAGACAGCTGCATCAATCTAACAGATATCGATTCCTCAAGCCCCTGACACCGGAGAACGAAGCATGCAAACTTCCTGAGGGGTCCTGTTGCGCGCAGGGTGGAATGGAAAAGCTGCACTTCCTCCCCCGTGAGGTAGAGACAGGGCGGACCCGTAGCCCCTTAATCCGGAACGCTTTGATTAGAGGTGACAGGAGGCGACTTAAATCTAAGGGAAGGGACGGTGACAGATGGATTAGTGGCAGAAAGGCGCAGCGTCAGCGCCTTCAAGCAGTAATACTCAGTCTGCGGCCTGACTACAACCTGTCATTATGGATATCGCAAAAGGTCTAACTCCATGTCCAGTGAACTGAGTGGAGGGGCAGATAGGAACGAAGAAGGAAGAAAAGGAAGGAAGAAGGCTATTATCATTCATTGGTGCTGATGATGATCGTGGTAAAGGAGGAGTTGGAATCCGGAGGAGGATGCTCAGTAATCATGCAGGAGCTGTTTTACTGTGATGTTTAATTAACAATTGTAACCGGCCCGTTCTGATAACCGACAATGTAATCGGGGTGTTTGTTCCTTGCATTCACATGCGTCGGCTATAAATTGCCACCCCCTCACCCTCCCTCCTCCCCTATCGGACAGACGAGATATCTCTGCACAACGGTTGCCGCCCACGATGGTAAGACGAATTGCACAGCATTTCGTGTTTTACCGGCTGCCCATCTGCGTTTCTGCTCCCTTGCCCACGGGGACGGGGATGAGGAGGGCGATAAGCTCCGGACGACCACAGGGAGAGTGCCATTTTATGCGTTTCCCGTCCCCTCCCCCCTCCCCCCCTCCCCAGCACCCCTTCCCATCGAGAATGTCACAGTCGCGCCTAACCTCCAGCCGATAATTTAACATGCTAGGTTTCGAAATGGGAACAGCGCGCTGGCTCCTGGCCACAAGGTACCTCTGCGACTAACTGGCGACGGGGATTGCGAAACGCGATAAACAAAATTAAAGGGAATGCTTCGAGCGGGTCTGAAACGTGCACGACTGATTGGCCGGACGATGAGTATGCTATGGTAACCTACGAAAATGCTCCGACTGTCGTAGGTAGACCATTTGTTGTCAGAAGGTTTATGTACAGCCTCGCCAAAGGCATTATCGTCAATGCAGTGTCTAGGTTTGTCCAACAGAGACAGAGGTAGAGAGATAGAGCGAGGAAGTGGAGGAGAGGAATTCGGAAAATTTTCCGACAC